GGGCGCAGCACTCGCGGGGGGAGCGAAGAAATTCACACCATAAAACCGATCGGCGGCTATAGAGCCGCTGATCAGTTGTATGTGAAACAACCGTTAACGGCTGTAGTAACTAGCGGGTCTTTCCTGCCCGCGCGTGAGAGCAGGAAAAAAATGCCATCTGGAGACGGCAACCCACTGATGCGAGTCTGCTGTCCGTCCGTTTTTTCATAACAGGCGGACGGCAGGAGGTCAATAAACCCAATTTTTCAGTGAAAAATGCATTTAAATTCACTTAGTGCACACAGGCACAATATACTATCCAATTTAGTGGTAATATATAAACAATAGGGTTGTGTTGAGATACCAAACATGTCAAGCCTGAAAGTTGTGTGCGCCCATGGCATAGAGAACATTTTGTATACCCAAAATTGTCCAGAGGTGACACTTTATAAGCCTTTACAGGTTATTAATTTAGAGTTAAATGTGAATATTGTCCCTAATGCCTAACATGTGTGGCACAGTTGCTGTTTTTATAAATAGATGTGCCAAACACATGTGTTTTTGCTCATATGTGTGTGTTCATGGGAGCAGGAGAATTTTTTTTTAAATTAATTTAATGTATTTTTTTACTTATTTGTATTGCTGTGAGCCTCTTTGATACCATATTGCTGGTGACATGTCCTGCTGATGGTCTATTAGACTCCCAATGTCACCTATGGACTCCAATGAAGTTGATAAACCGCAGACTGTGCTTGATCAGCTTAGAAACCAGAAGTGATTAAATCCTTGTCGCGATCATTTACTGGAGAGGAGACCAACAAATGGTTGTTCACTTTTACATTGTAGATTGTAAGCCCTCAGGGGCAGGGCCCTCCTTACCATCTTGTCTTGAATTGTATTGTGATTGTAATGTCTTCCTTATGTTGTAAAGCGCTGCGCAGACTGTTTTCGCTATATAAATCCTGTATTATAATAATAATAATTCACTAATCTCCCTCCTGTCTACCGACTGACACCTGCCATGATCTTCCCAAGCCCGCAGGAGGGGCAGCGGAGCCTAGGATAGATGGAGGGGATAGTCAAGCAGGGGTTGGCACATTCTGGGGCGGGTTGTAGAAGTGATCGAGTCATCTGTTTAAATCAATCAATATCACTTCTATTTGAAAAGCGACAGTCAGCTGGAAGAGTGTAAACATACATACATACATATATAGCAGCCAGGAGTCCATTTACAGATCGAAGCTGTCACAGGCAAAGTATTTCTGTCCATGGCATGTCCCGTGGACCCCTGCCCATGTTCCAAGGGTTAAATGCACCTACACGTTTATATCTACAACACAGTTGCTGATAAGGAACAGTAACAAAAGTTGATGATATAATTCTTGTAAAATATATTGTCAATGTGGAAAGGATCATATATAATTGAGTTCATTGTTACGGTGGATAGAATGTAGTAAAAACAGTGCTAATACTTTTTTATGTGTGCAAATGTTCTTTCAGACTCGGTTGACTGCCTTAAGTGCCCATGGGATTATTGGCCAAATTCCCATAAATCCCGATGCCTCCCGAAGCCGATAGAGTATCTTTCAATTGAAGATCCACTGGGAAAAACACTAACGGCCATCAGTGTCATTTCCTTTTTGGTTCCAGTTGCCCTTATGACACTTTTTATACAGTTCAAGGCCACCCCTTTAGTTAAAGCCAACAATTATTATATCAGCTGTCTTCTCTTGGTCTCCCTCTCGTTGTGCTTCCTCTGCCCTCTGATCTTCATTGGTTATCCCCACAGTGAGAATTGTCTGCTGCGTCAGATTGCTTTTGGAATGGTTTTCGCTCTCTGTATCTCATGCATTTTGGCCAAGACCATCATTGTGATATTTGCTTTTATAGCCACCATGCCAGACAGTAATCTCAGGAAATGGGCACACCCAAAAGTGTCCTACATGGTCATCACAGTGAGCTCGTTTTTGCAACTTGTTTTGTGCGTAGTCTGGCTGTGCATAGCTCCTCCCTTCCCGGAATACAACACACAATCTAAACCCGGAACAATTATTGTTGAATGTAATGAAGGATCACCCGTTGCCTTCTGGACCATGTTGGGTTACCTCTTTCTTCTGGCTTCCATTAGTTTTATTGTGGCCTTCCTAGCTCGGAGACTTCCTGACAGCTTTAACGAGGCCCAGTTTATTACCTTCAGCATGTTGGCTTTTCTCAGTGTCTGGATATCCTACATTCCAGCATCCCTCAGTGCTGAGGGCAAATATACAGTGGCTATGGAGATCTTTGCCATCTTGGCCTCCAGTTGGGCTCTCATCACCTGTATGTTTTTCCCAAAATGTTTCATCATCTTGTTCAGGCCTGACATGAACACTAAAGAATTTCTCATGAGAAATTATATTTATAAAAAATAGTGTATTAGGTGCTCAATGTGTTTTATGTCTTCAGCACACTAAATTGAGTTCAGTTTCAACATTTTATTTATCTGCTTTAGTTTTTACTTAGGATAAAGATGATTTTTAGGTTGAAATTGATGAATTGATTTTTGTTTAATAAATAATAGAGAAATATACATTTGGAATGCAATCTGTTATGGCATTTTTTTCAATAAAATGTGGCCAAAAGGAACCCAAAAAGACCTAATATGAAATACTGTGTAGACAAAGTAGTCTTCAGAAAAAGCATATTTCCTTCTAGTCCATTGTGTAGCATAGGGCAACTTAAAAACTATTCTATTGTACATCATTTGCTTGTGAGTATCTTTCCTTTCCTTTCGTTTAGGGCCCATTCACACTATTCCATTTTACTAGCACACATGCCTTGGTGAAATGCGGTAACATTCATTAAGGCTGGCACCTCAATGCACCTTGTCTATGGGTGTGTTTATGCTGCCAGAAATGGCACGTGCAAATTTCTTGGTATGTTGTAAAAGGAATGGGCTGCCTTAACACAACACATGTTTACATGCGGTATCACCAGGGCCGGATTCCCCACTAGGCCACCGAGGCCCGGCCTCGGGGCATCAGCGCTGTGGAATCCCCCAACGCCTGGAACATGCAGTTCCGGGCTCCGGGCGGTAAGTTGTTTTCTACATTTAGCCCTGCTTTGGAAAAGCAGGGCTAAATGTAGTGTGAGGAAGCCGCTTGTTTGTTTCCCCCCTCCCCCGCACCTACCTCTCTCCTCGCTGACTCTGTCCTCTGGGCTCCGCCACCGATTCTCCTAGATGGAGGGGGGGGATGTTGGGGGGGCGGGTGTTGAC